AGTAAGAGACATGAGAAACTACATGACTCGCATAAGATCATGATAATAATGAAAAGTGCAGCATCCTCTTGGTGCACCAATTTAATTTTCATTTTAGGCTCAAGTTACATAAGAATAAAAAGAAACGAATAAAAGGAAATATGAATTTGTAACAAAAATGGCCTAGAATTATGGCAACCGCGATTCTCTGAGTATAATTTTAGAAGTAATTATCAATCCATAATTCTCTCAAATCAACATTAAATTCGAGAATAGTATGGTAAAAAATCATGGACATGATTCATAATATTTTACCATAATATTTATTGTCAACTTTCATGTTTAATACTAACTATTGTGTCGGTACTATAAGGAGAAATATATAATATTTCATAAAAGAGCGACACACATAATATTAATTCACCAAAAGAAATCAATGGTATTTGAGAAATGTTGAATCCAATCATAAAAGAAAAAAAATTAAAATGCAGTAAAATACCCTATGTTTTACTCATGTAGCACTTATATATTTTCAATTGTTTTTCCAAGCATTTTATATACCTTGAGTAGTTTAAATAATTTAGCACTTTAGTACCTTCTATTTTGCAAACGGTAAAATTTTCATACAAAAGTTCTAATAAAACATTCCAATATTAATTTTGGAGCTTTTTTAGTCATTAATATTTGTTAAATTTACTGTTAATCCTACGATCTATTTTTGACATATTATCATTCTATTTGAAAAATAAATTTTAGTTAGATTTAACAGTAAGTTCAATAAATTTAATAGTTGAAAAGTTATAAAACTAGCATATGAAACTATAGGAGAACTTTTAATTGAAATTTTTTTAAAAAATTGAATAATACTGACTCCATTACGAATGAATTATCAATGAGTGATACTTTTGTTTCTAGAAGTATAAATATAATTTGAAAATTTATAGTCTAATTATCACTACACATAGTTGTTACGATGAGCATCTTGAAGAACTTGACGAAAAGCATGATCATAAACAACATGAGTTTGGACAAACATAGAACGTCACCACATACTAAATGATGTCAATCCATATCCATCATCAATCCAATGATAAAAAAACGCATGATGCAGGTCATCGTCAATTGATTAGCACTGATCACTCTTGGGTAACACGTAAAACACATTTAATTGATAAGATTGACAAAAGATCCATAGAATTGGTAACATTTTAAATAAACTAGCTTCTAAGCTCAACTTATAGGGTTTCTAGCTTTTGAAAACTAGTTTATGAACTCATCTAAAATAAGCTAGGCTTAACCAAGTAAATGAACATTTGTGATGAAAGGTTTGAAAACAAGGTGATAGGTCACTAAGGAAAAAAGGAAAAACGAAAAAGAGATCTTAGAATTGAAGACATTAAAATAAGCTGGCCTACCCACTTAAGATTCTTTAAATTGCGCAGAAGAACTTCCATATGGGGTTAAAAAATAAGGTGATAAACTCCTTGCGATATTACCTATTTAAGAATATACCACCCTCATACTTCTATTGTTGTATATAGACTTTCTAGATTCTTAGCTTTGAGGCCATGTTTATAAACTTTGTATTATAATCCACTTAGCCTATAATTTATAAATGGCTAATAAGTCAAGTGGATATAATCCAACGTCTTTAGTGAATTTAATTGACTATAACCCATTTTAAATAGTAAAGTGTTTGACAAATGGGTGACTTATAATCCATCTTGGTGTTGAAGATAGAGAATAAAGAGTTTTTGAATTTTCTTGGGAGTTATAGTGGTTATTTACTTCATCAAACTATGTGGTTTTTGAACCACCAAAAAATAAACTAGGTTATCCTAACTTATATTATTTTGGCTTATAAGCTAAAAAAGAGTTTTTTTGCCAAACATGTCCAAGAAAGCTCAGAAGCCACTCTGACCAATTCCCAAACATGCTCTTATTTTTTCCATTTAAATTAGTTAAATGTCATACGATTATGCAAGTTTACAGTAAATGTATCACTCTATGAAGCTTATATATATTTCACTTTACGAAACATAATCTTAAAATGAAAATAAATGTTTTGCGAAATATGTAATCTATCTGTAGCAATACAAGTAAATGGCCAATCCGCAACTAATTACCCTTGAAAGGAGAATTTTTTTAAGAAAGATAATTTTTAAAAAATAATTAGCAAAAATAAAATTTTTACTAAATAATTAGCAAAATCGATCTCTTTTTGGTCAGCTTACCAAGACTAGCCAAAAAGAGGTCGATTTGACAAAATTTAGTGTTGAAAACACATTGGACTGTAGTCTCGTATGTTTAGCGTTTGCTAATCACCTCCTAAACACAACCGAGAAAACACAGGGGACTAGTAGTCCCATGTGTTTTCTGTGCAGTAGCAGATAATACACAGGACTACTAATCACATGTGTTTTCTAAACAGTCTCAAAAAGCACACGAGACTAGTAGTCCCATGTGTTTCACAGAAAGCCCAATACACGCACAAAACATGCATGTTTCTATTTCAACATATATCGTGTGTGTATACAATATTTTCGTGCATAAAAAGTAGCATTTTGCATGGTAGTTGGTTGTAATAATTTTCACCGGCTTGAATTTGACCTGATTCTTGATTGACCATTCACATATAGTAAAAATCAATGCTTTCTTATTCTTGAATAGATCTCATTTTTTTAAAGTGAAGTTTTCAGGTTATTCGAAAATAGAACCAAGATCAACAAACTCAGTTTGTGAGGCATTTATCCACTCCTCATTTTGAAACTGTTCTGGCAATGGTTCTTCACACTCTACACAATCATTGTTTACACAAAATCCATCCATCCAATGGTTGTCATCATCGATTCTTCCAATAACACACTGCATGCTATCAAATTATTCCTCTTCTTCAACATTTTCAGAATCATCTCTGCATCCTTATCCTCTTCTACAATGAAACCAATCGCTAAATTATCCGTAACATAACCGAAGCGTTGTAGAACATATCACTTGACGTTGCACAATGGGCATGCCCGTTTTAATGTTGTAGTTTAGTCTATGCCATTTCACTTGAGTCATTTTCTAAGTGTGTATCACTTGGAGATGAAATAAACTTGCTTGAGTTATTTTCTAAGTCAAGCATGCTGGAGAACTCTCCTGGAGCATTTAAAATTGAGCAATCGAACATTAGAAATTTTTTAATGAACAAGTCAATTGAGATTTGCTTTTTAAAGAGTTGTGTCATGTCAATCATTTATTGATCATTGGTGATCTCTATAACAATTATTTTTTTATTTACCGGACAATTACAAAACACCTTAATTGTATAATCTCCATGGTTAGTTCTAGTAACTCTGTATATTTACTTCATTATTTTATCGAAGTTGCATGCTTTAGATAACATGAAAATTTTTCTAGATCCTCCATCGTATATAAGCATATTATTCATTTCAACACTCAGTCTACCATTAAGAAGTAAATAACAGTTATTTTGTTCGCCATCGAAACTGAAATATTAACATTCATTGTAAGCAAATTATCTATTACACTTCATAAATTAAATTTTATATATCTTGTTTCGAGCTAAACCATAGTTGAAAGGACCTCTATATCAAATTTAATCTATCAAATTTCTAGTTAAATCCTAATTATAACCAAGCCATATTGTTTATCAAGGTTAAAATAAAATTATAACCAAAAAATAAGGTTATTTTTTACTATAATTGTAACCAAAAATTTATACAAAATTAGAAAATTTTATGTTGTAAAGAGTTGAAGTTCATCAGCGTAAGAGCTCATCCACGTTGGAGAATTTAGATGGTGTCAGAGTTCAACAATGCCGGAGTGAATCAAGAAAGAAATTTTGGGGATGAGCCTCAGTTTGGGTTTGGAGAGAATGAGAGAGAGGAAATTGTGGGAGAAGGAGGTGATGTTGGAGAGGATGAATTGGGTGGGGGAGAGAGAGCGGGAGAGAGTTGACGGACGGAGAGATCACGAGAGAGTTGAGGGAATTGAGGGAGAGATTGGGTTGATTTGAGAGGGAGGGCAGAGAGAGGGATCGCGATATTTGAGAGAGAGTGAGGCTATGCCCTAATTTTTGGCACGATTGTGTTTTGTACCCGACAAATAAAAGAGACTACTAGTCCCGTGTATTTGTTGGGAGCCCCGTTCATTTGCTGGGAGGAAGCAGATGTGTTTTTGTTTAACACACGAGGCTACTAATCCCACGTGTTTTTTTGGATTATGCTTAGGAGGTGATTAGCGAATTCTAAACACACAGGAATAGTAGTCTCATGTGTTTTCAACACTAAATTTTGCAAAATTGATCTCTTTTTGGCCAGCCTTAGTGAGCTATCCAAAAAGAGATCGATTTTGCTAATTATTTAGTAAAAAGATCATTGTTACTAAATATTATTAAAAAATGTCTTGTTTTAAAAAAGAACAAATTTTCAAAAGAGACCCTATTAGTAATTTATTTTTAAAAAATGATCCGTTTGAGATTTAATTGTCATTTTGACCAGTTTCAGCCACCTGACTCAAAATGGGTCGAAAATAGCAAATAAAGATTTAAAATCCCGTGAAGTTTAGTGCCTGATTAACCACGCTAATGACACTGCAGAAGAAGTACACCTAAACTTCACTGGATTTTCCAAATCCCGTAAAGTTGCAGACCCCTTTTTACAGAGAGCTCGATACGAGCTCCCTGGCAGATGCCCCCTGCAAACTTCATGGGGCTTCAAATTCAAATCCCGTGATGTTTGGTTGTAGTTTCAGATGACTTGGTCTATTTTGTGATTATGCTGAGTAATTTATTGACTAAACTTCATGCGATTTTAAATCCTATGAAGTTTTCAAACTTTATTTACTATTTTCAACCTGGTTTCAAAAACCGATTCGAAAATGGTAATTAAATTCCAAAAGATCGATTTCTAAAAATAAATTTCTAACGAGATCTATTTTGAAAATTTGTCCTTTTAAAAAATTCTCCCCCTTGAAAATAGCCGAGCCTGCGTTTTTAAGACGCACGCCGGTTTTGAAGATAGCTAAACCCGACCCGGTACCAACCCTACCCGTGTGCACTCAGCCTCAATTCTCAAAACCACCGCCACCGCCTCCTCCTCCTCCTTCTACAGGCGAGATTCTGAAGGCACCGCCGCCTGGATCCACGTCCGCGGGCTGAGCCGCCGCCATCAAGCTCAGCATCTTCCTCCTTTTTCTCAGACCCCAACATCTCCTCTTTTTACAAGCCAAGGTAAAGTCTCATCGTAGTGATCTCGTCAAAACTCTTCTTTTTATCTCCCTTTATTCTCTAACGCCTTCTTTGTGTTTGCGTATACGCCGCACCTTGGGAAATTGCATTAGAATGCAAGAATGACTTCGTCAATATGAAATTGGCGAATTGGAAATAACGGATGTCAATAAATTTAGTTTGATTTTTTGATTGATTTCGCAGTTGTTTCGTGATCGAATTATGAATTTTAAAAAAACATTATTTAATTACATCATTACCTTTTGAATCCTTACTCCTCATCTTTGGGATGCGAACCGCATACATATCAAGTTAAATATTTGACGTAATTATTTTCCCGCAGGTGCTACTTGCTCGTAGGTTTGCACAATGATACGACCACCTTTATATCCCGGGGCTCCGCCTCCGTTGCCAGCAATGCAGCCTCAATTGCCAGCAATGCAAACTGTTCAGTCTCCTGGCAGTTCCTTTTGGGACGCCGATAATGTCAGGAGCCATCTAAGAAACTTACAGGAGGCTGTTTATCTCGCGAAAGCACTGTATGTTCTTTCGTCGTGTTTAGCCTTATATCCTCCTCGCGTGTTGGTTTTGTTCATTTTAACTTGGAGTTCTGGCAGGCGGAAGGAACTGGAGGAAATTAATCTTATTAGGCAGTCAAACGAAAACAATGCTTCAGTTAGAGACTCTTTTTGCGATAACCCGTCAGAAAAGAATTCCTCGTCATCTGCAAATGATTTACCTCTGCAAGTTCCTCATATGCTTAAAGAGAGCAGGATCGGTTTAGATACGCAGGAGTCCCTTTCATTAGAGGCTGCACGTTCGTTAGTTTCGAGCCTCAGGGATCAACTTGTTCCTTTCAGGGCTGTTACAAGCGAAACAAGTTCATGGGAGGAAAAGTCACTGGCTGCGAGATTAGCTCAAAAGCTGCAAAAAGCCAAAAGAAATAAGCGTTGGAAGAAGAAAAAACGAAAACGTGTGGCAGAACTGCTGCGTAAGGTTGTCAATATCTGATAAATTAGATCTTTTGCGGTCAATTTGCGTTGGAAAAATCTTGATATGCACCGTGCATTCATTGCAACACTAAAATGAGATTTTGTCCTGCTACTGTTTATCTAAATTAATGCTTATCAAGTGCTATTTTCTTCTGCAGGAGCGTGAGAGTTATAATAAAGCTGATCAGGATGCTGATGAATGGAGAGCTAGGGAGATTGCCAAGGACATTGCAAAAAGAAAGGTATTGTTGCTCATGACTGCGTGAGGCTCACGTCTCTTTACTATAGCTCATTATTCCTGGTAAAATAGGGATAACTTAGTTACTGCTGGTAACTAAACCTGTATCCATATTTAACATTCTTGTTTTGTATGCCTCAATGGAAATGGTCTATAAATTATGTTTACAGAAATAAGCTTCAAGCACTGCAAGGGCGAGGCTCCATCTGTCTTTTCCCTCACAGAACCCAAACTGGTGGGTTCGCATACAGTGACTGCATATATATACCGTATGAGTGTTTCATATCTGTGTGGTTGCATCATAGATGAAACCTGACGTCGTAAAGTAGTTGCCAAGCTGCATTGACTTGAAGGATAGCCTTCTTCTACTTTAAACCTTTCAAGATGCAATATGATCCCTTTATTTCAATTTTTCTGGAAATAGCCCCTTATTTAAATTTCCTTTGTCCCTCTTTCAACTTTTAGAATATATGGCTCATCTTCCATTATTGATACGTGCAGTTTACAGAGGCAAGTTATAATCAGATGGGAGAATAGAAGTTTGAAAATACAGTTTTATGGTTTTTGGTGGTGTTTTGGATGATGAGGGTGGGAGATTATGGAATCGTCCCTTGTAATTTTCACTATGCAAGCAAACATTTGATAAAACAAATACGAGGAAGGGACTACTTCATTCAATTAGGGTATCATAATGGGAACATCTAAGTATTTTAGATGAAATGGATGGCTGCAGATGGCCATGAAGCTAGTGCTAAATGTATCTTCAAAGCTTTTCCTAGTCATGGTTTTTCTCTTTGCGTTATACTTTCAGGCAGTAGTATACATTATACTTTTGGGTGCTTGCAACTTTTTTGTTTCTTATATTTTATGAGTTCTGTAAATTGTAGTAACATTATAGCATTCAAGTTATTTCCATCTGATGACCATTTATCTAAATGGCATTAGTTGTCCTGATCCGTACTATTTACAATGGAGATGTTTACTTCTTCATTGTATCATCTGCTAGCTCATATCATTTTGTTGATGCCAAGATCTTACGATTAATATGAAGTCTGTATATTCTGATTATCTTGTTGAAAATTAACCATAGATTGGCTGTTCTAGGTGGAAGATATGAAGGCGATTGCAAAGCTCAAAGCTAATGAGGACAGAAAAAGACTCGAATCAGAGGTCAGAACTTTGGGCACATGTTATCTGAGTACTTTGATATTGATATTCTGCTCCATATGCACCAGTATTGTACCTAGTGTACATTATGTACATATTGTCTCTGCTACTGCTTCTTTGTACTTTTTTAAATTGACCTCAGTTATCGAAATACTGTTCGCAAAGACATGTATGTCAGTTGCACAAAGAGTTCATACTTTATGCATCTTATAGTTTATGGATCCCATATTATAAGCGTTTTCTCTTTGAATACGATAAGCTCCATTGTAGGATTTACGATGAAATATGATGAGCACTGTGGCCATTCAGTTGTTAAATCTGAGTTAAAGGTTTGTTTTTGTCAGATAGATTTGTTTGTGTTCTTGAATTTATTGTCTTGAGTTATGAGTTTTCTTTTGAATTCAACTTCTAGCCTGTCCTCAAGTGTAGGTAAATTATGAACTTATTACAAAGCGGTAATAAGTCCTTATTCATTTATGAAAAATGTGGATATACACTAAGCAAATGGGTGCATCTGTAGGAGGTTAGAGGTTACTCCTATTGATGATAGAATGAGAGAATCAATTTAGATGTTTTGGTCATGTGCAATGAAGGCAGCTAAAAAAGAGGAGAACCGATAAGGTCACAGTTAATGGGACAAGTAGGACTAGAAGTAAGCCTAAGAGAACTTGGTTGGAAGTAATTAAGAAGGATATAATAATGGTTGACAGAGAGGGATAGCCCTTAATATATATAGCTGAATGCAAGAATAGAATTCATGTAGCTAACCCCAAACGTTTGTGGTAAAGGCTTTATCTTTTGGTATTGTGCAGTCTGAGGATAATGGAATAGATTTTGGTCCTCTTTGTTTGCTTGATTTTTTTGGTTCATTGTTTTTATTAAGAAAAATTTCTCATAACTTTTCGTGCAAGAGTAACTAACAACTCTTATCAATCAATAGTATTTGTATTGCTTATACAATTTGTGCTTCAAATGCCAACCATAAATACTTTTTCAGTTTACCTCCGACTAGTTGAGCAATGAACTATTGGCATACTTCACTCCATATGTTTGTTAGTGTCTCTTCTAGGGTACTCATTATTCTGACATAAATGCTCTTTACCATTCATCTTGATAATTTTTAATGTGTTTTCTTCATTTCATCAAACAACCACTTTATACTGATGGTGAGCAGCTCCTTTCCTCCTTGAATGAGCTTCCTTAAGAGTGTATACAATTACGCAACAGCAGTGCCACCAACAACAAAGTTTGCATCTAAACTTTTGAGCTAGGCTACATATATTTTCTTTGCCATATCTAAAATGTTGGACAGTAATGAAAATATCCAAATTTACATTTTACTTTCATGTACTTATCTTATTAATTTCTTCCTAAACATTGATGGGTCTTTTGAAATGTTTGTTAGTTTCCTCGAAAATATATCACTTATGACAATCTCTTGAGTTTTCAGCTTGAGCTTGTCCTGGTCGTGGAGAAGCTGCAGGAACTTCGTTCCATCAGAATTCAGAAGTTGAAAAAACAAGGCATGAGTTCTTTGTTGGTATCTTATTATTGTTCACATTTATCATTATTTCAAAGTCCTCGTCATGACCAAACACTGATTTCAATGGTTCTCTTGTTTGATATGAAGAGTATTTATTAAATCCTATCATTGATACAAATTAACTTGATTATTTATTTTCCTTAGACAAGCCTATATTGCTGACATCACAGGTAGCATTCTTACACCAAGATGGAAGCCATGCAATCCTTATAACAATGTTAAAACCGGTTTTAATTCTATTACCTTACTATGTGATTGTTCATATTGCTAAAGTTAGAGGTGGAATGGTCAAAAGTATCACATTTTCCGCAGATTTGTGGTCCCTTCACTTGGTGATTCACTGGATGGAAGATAAAAACCTCAGAGAGACGTCTGCACTTGTCTTCCATAGCTTGATGTGTCTTTTTGGGCTCTGATGTTGGATTCCTTTCTTTCTTTCTTTGTTTTTCCCTTTTATTTTTTGG